GGCCCGCCGCAGCCCTCCGACTGCAGCTGCCACCGACGCCGCCATCTTAACTCGGGGCAGAGACTTCACGGGGTCAGAGGGCACCGCGGGGGTGGAAGGTGAAGTGGGAAGGAAGCTGGGCGTTTCCCATCCCACAGCGGCTCCTGGCGGTGGGAGGACTCGAGGCAGCAGCCGCCGCCTTTGTGGAAATGGTTGTGAAGGGTTTGCTTGTAGGCCCCTATAATTCATTAGGCATTCAGCAAGTATTCATCGGGAGCCAGTGATGTGCCGGGCATTGTTTTAGGCGCTTAAGGAACATTAGTAACAAAATTGATAAAAATCCCTGCTCTCTAGAGATCTTTATTGTTAGCAATAATTGCTAATTTCATTAATTTTGCAAGGTTACATACAAATGGAGTTTCAGTGAACAGGCATGGATTGAACTGAGTGTGTGTGTGTGTGTGCGCGCGCGCGTGTGTGTTTCCAGGCTGAGAGAAGAAGGCAAGAGTGCCAAGGGAATTGATACCAGCATTCATTCTGGAGGCATTCAACAAATTTATTGATTACCTATTCTGTGGCAGGCATTGTTCTAGGGCTAGGCACTTGCTGGTTCCATGTCCTTGGCTTTGGAAATGGCTGTTTTGTTCTTAGGGACTGAAGCAGATCCTTTAGAACAGGAGTCTAGCTGAGAGACAGAAGCCAAACAGCATCTGCCTCATTATTAATTGATTAATGACATTTGGTCTTTTAATTTATTTTCCTGGGGATTAGAGAGAATCCAGTTGGTCAGGGCAGGGCTAAGCTGTGGGCCAATAGCTGCAGAGATTTCTCTCTCCCTAAGCATCCCAAGTGCCCCTGGGGTTTTGTGTGTTTTGTTTTAGGGTAAGAGATACCTGTTCCACCTCCCCCTTCTGTCTTCCTCTCCATGGTGACAGCCGTGACCACAGGCCCTTGTGGATGCAGCCCAGGGTCCTCATGGGGCTTCTCATAATACCCTCTGCTCTTGGTTTGAGAAATTAAACACGTTGAGAAGATATTGTGCCACCATGAAAACCCAATACAGGGAGACGAGCTGAGGTCAGTGTGATCACTCACAAGGCCTCAGTCATCCAGACGGGTTCTTTGGCTGCCATTCGTTGTGAGTTTTGTTATTTAGGGACTTTTGAAACACAACTCCCTTGGGAAATGCGTAGTCTTTTTTTGACTCGAGTTTCTCTAATGATAGTGAATTCTTAACTTTGTCTTCTGATCTGCCCCGTGATCCTGTTTCTTCCCTTGCCCACGTAGATGAAAGGTGTTGTTTTGAAAGCGCGTTTTGCCTGTTTTGGTTTTTCCAGTGTTTTTGAAACAGGAACCTAAAGCCAGATGGGGATTTCCATGAGACTGATGATTTTGAGACAAGACTGTGAAATTCTTCCCCAAACTAAGATGGGAGTGTTTTGCTAGGGAAATCTAGCTGGGGCCTCTACCTAGTACTGATGTCAACTTTTCCCCCGCTTCAGATTTTGCCCTAGATTGGGCCTGGAAAGGTTTTGCATTATAGTAGGAACGTCATGATTTTAGACTAATGTGGATCTAGTGTGGAGCTATGCCCCCCCCCCCCCCCCGCAAACAGCTTTATTTAAATATAATTCATAAACCATACAATTCACCCATTTAAAATGTATAGTTTGGTGGCTTTTAGTTCATTTACAGAGTTGTCAACCATCACCTCAAATAATTTTAGAACATTTCCATTATTCCCCAAAGAACGCCCATACTTCTTAGCCATTAAACTCATCCCTCAACCCCTTCCTGCCCTAGGCAACCATTTAATCTACTCTCTGTCTCTATGGATTTGCCCTTTTTGAACACTTCATGTAAATGCAGCCATTCAGTATGTGGTCCTTTGTGACTGGCTTCTTTCACAGAGCATAATGTGTTCAGGATTCATCCATGTTGTAGTCTGTATCATGGATTTTTAGAAGTGTGTTTTTGAGTTTTCTGTTTGAAGAGGGTTTTTTCCTCATCTTACTATCTCATCCTTGTCATTAAAAAATGATCATTTTATTTTCTTCGTGTTCTTTGGTAAGTCATTTTCTTCTTTCTGATATTTCCCAGTGAAGCCAAGTGGTTCTTCTAGGACGGGAATGTGTCTATTTGATTTGCCAGTCATCTGATGAGGAAGTTAAACCCATGGTCTGCAGTTTCCCAGGATAGATGGATGTGGAGAGAACTTACCAGACTGGGAAGTTACTGACCGGGAACTTCTCTCAGGAGTACTTACCCCCTGACTTAGTATTAGCAGGATTCTCATTTTGAGGTTTAAAATGCAAGTGAGGTCTGTTTCCTGGGAGATGTTCAGATGGGTTTGGATGCTGCCCTCCCTGGGTCTGAGATTACCCTGATGTTGTCATTTGACTTAATTATTCTGCAGTTACAAGGTGCCTATTTGAACCCTCTCTCTACGTTATCCCTTACTCTGGGGATGGAAATTGTCCCTCCAGATTTCCCCATCGGCTTTAAGAGCAGGAACTTGAGGTCAGTGATGCATTGTGTCCTGGACTGATGGTCAGAGGAGACACCATGGAATTTTCACCCTTACTGAGCATAGAGAACTCAGCTTTGGGAACTTCCTCTTCTAAACCATAAGGGCTGTCTTTTAGTGTCTAGGTTAAAAGTTCAATCTAGCCCTAGCTGGTTTGGCTCAGTGGATAGAGTGTCGGCCTGTGGACTGAAGGGTCCCGGGTTCGATTCCGGTCAGGGGCACATGACCAGGTTGCCACTGGATCCCCAGTGGGGGGCGGTCAGGTGATGCTCTCTCATCATTGATGTTTCCATCTCTCCTTCTCCCTTCCTCTCTGAAATCAATAAAAAATATATATATTTTAAACAGTTCAGTCTATTAGAGGTGAATATTTATTTATGGCTTTGCCTTACCTGGATTGTAAAAGCCACACTTGTCAAACGTTACTAAAGATGGGGATTTCCTGGGATCTTCTTAAAAATGCAGACTGAGATTCAGTAGGTCTGGAGTTGGGTGCAAATTCTGTTTCCAGCAGGCTCCTGGGTGCTGCTGCTGCTGCCCCCTCGCCTACTAGACCTCACCTTGAGTGACAAAGGTGTGGTAGAGGACTGCGTCCCAGTCCTAGGGCCTGGGTGCCTCTGGGCCCTCCCTTTTCTGCCGGAGCAGAGAACTCCTCGTGCGCACACGTGCTCGCTCCCACCCCCCACCCCACCGTGAGTGGAACCCAAGGTGGCGGTAGTGTCTGCCTGTTGCTAAGAGACGCGGAGCGGCGTGACGCTCCCGGGAACCTGGCTATGACTTGGGGACTTGGATGGCGTGGCTCAGGAATAGAAACCTCCTGGGATCTGAAATTCAAGGATTACTGGACCCTGGAGGGTGGCAATGCTTGGTTTGTCCTGATGCATTATTAAATGGTTACGTCTTAAATGGTTAAATAAGTACCTACACAATATCCTCGATTTTGCCTCCTGGCCTGTAAAACCTAAAATATGTACAGTACTCTATGGTCCATCGGGAAAAGTTTGCCAACCCCGGTATGATAGGTTAAAGAAAAACTATTTTTTTTTTCCACAATAAAACGCAGATGTAGAAAAGTCAACCTAACTAAATGTATGGCTTAATCATTAGAAGGCAAACATCTTAGTATCTACCATCCAGGTCTGGAAAAGAACTTTGCAGTCACCTCAGGAGCCCTCTATGGACTCTGCCTTCAGCCCCACCACCTTCCTCCTGGCAAAGGTGACCACTCCCCTGACTTCCACAGTAATCACAACTTTACGGGTCTTTATAGTTTTACCACTCAAATATCCATCCGTAGATGTCATAGCCTTGTCTTTATTTTAAAAATCAATACAAAATCTTAAAAAAAAAAAAAAGAATGAAGAGTTTACTGCCAGCAGACTGCACCACAAGGACATATTTCAGGCTGAAGGGAAATGCTGCCAGATAGAAAGTTGAGTCTTTAGGCGAATGAAGAACATAGGAAATGATAACTGTGGATGAATATAAAAGGCTATCATTTTTCCTCCATTTATTTAAAACACATGGAACTGTTTAAAGCAAAAGAATTTTGCAATTGCATAGGTCTAGTGATTGCCCCTGTGCTTTATGTTATGTAATGTATCATGAAGAATGGGGATGGTAAGTGGAATTTTATAGTTTCAAAGTTCTTACATGAAGTGGTATAATGTCTGCTCTAGCTAGTCTCTGAAAGGTTCATTGTAACCCCTAGAACAGCGGTTCTCAAAGTGAGGTGCAAGGACTTTGGGGGTCCCCAAAACCCATTCGGGAGGTCTGCGATATTATGCTTCAGGAAGTAAGGGGAGGACCTCATATCTATACAAGGTTGGCTTTTCTTTGTATACGCCAGCCAAAACAACACATCACAACAGATTGAATGCAGAAGTAGATATGGAATCCATCTGTCTTTTCAGCCAGACATTAAAGAGATTGGCAGAAATGTAAAGCAGTGCCTTTTTTCTCACTATTGTTTTGAAAATATATTTTTCATAAAACATGCTTATGTTAGCATATAGCGGATTTATTTATTTAATTAATTAAAAAGAAATATTTTTGCATTTTTAATTTAATTATATGTGTCTCTCACATAAAAGCTTTTTGGGGGTCTCTAGTATTTTGTAGGAGTATAAAGGGGTTCTGAAATTAAAACACTTGAAAATTGCTGTAGTAGAGCAAACACTGAAAAATAATGCAATGAGCAGCACTGTTCACAATACCCAAAAGGTATTGTGAAACAACTAAATGTCCATTAATGGAAGAATGGAGAAACAAAATGTGGTTTATGCATACAATGGAATTTTATTCAGCCTTAAAAAGGAATGAGGTACTGACACATGCTACAGCATGGGTGAATCTTGAAAACATGCAAAATGAAAGAAGCCAAACAAAAAGACCACATGCTATATGATTTTATTTATATCCAGTGTCCAGAATAGGTATATCAATAATGACA